AAAATATTCAATAATCTTCCTCATGCTGCCATTGGTGCCCTTGCTGACGCCATACATAACTCCATTGAATTGGGAAACTTTCCCCCTCTTCTAAAAAAGGCCATAGTCATCCCTCTGTTTAAAGGAGGTGATACTGGCTCACCCTCTAGCTACAGGCCCATTTCTTTGTTGCCCACATTGGCAAAGGTTGTGGAAAGGATTGTTAAGGGTCGTATGACTTCATTTTTGGAGAGGCATAATGTTATTTCAGCCTCACAATTCGGATTTCAGTGCACAAAAAATACAGATGATGCCATGTTCCACCTTCTGGATCAACTTTATCTTGGCCTCAATGATCGAGAGTTCGCGTCGGCAGTGTTCTGTGACCTGGCAAAGGCCTTTGACTGTGTCAATCATGGGATTCTGCTGGGCAAGCTTGAGATTTATGGTTTCAGAGGGTCAATTTTGAACTGGTTCAAGTCATACCTATCTGATCGCGTCCAGAGCGTATCTTTCAACAACTACACTTCCACTGAGCTCCGGGTCGAAGCAGGGGTTCCTCAGGGGTCTGTTCTGGGACCCCTTCTGTTTCTTCTTTATGTCAACGACCTCTCTTCTGTGATTGTTAATGGCCAATGTACTTCCTTTGCAGACGACACTACTATCCTATGGCATCATGGTAGTGCTGCTCTGCTCAATGACATGGTGAACACTGACCTATCAAATATCAAAAAATGGTGTGATGCTAATTTGCTTTCATTTAATGTTTCCAAAACGAACATAATTCACTTTAAGGGTAATTTCAATAATTCCATTTCAATTGACGGTCAGCCTATCAACAACTTGAGCGAAAACCGATTTTTGGGCTTGTACATTGACAGTAGGCTGAAGTTTGGGACTCATATCTCCAATTTGTGCTCTAGAATGTCTTCCGGCTGCTTCGCTATCAGGGCTGTAAAAAATGAATTAAATACCGATATCGCAAAGAATGTTTATTTTTCTCTTATAGAGTCCCATCTAAGATATGGCATTTGTTTTTGGGGATCTTGCTCTCATAACCTCTTCCAGTCAGTATTTGTGTTACAGAAGCGCGCTATTAGATGTGTTTTCGGTTTGCGACTCCGAGACTCGTGCAAGCCTACATTTAAAGCTGAAAAAATACTGACGGCTTATAGCATTTTCATATTGGAGTCTGTGTGCTTAATGCATAGGAAGTACCTGAATCTGGTACACTCTGTATCCGCTGTAAATACTCGAAGCTCGTTTACCATTGATCTGCCCATTCCCTCTTCAACTTTAACCATGAACTCGATTCTTTATAATAGTAAAAGGCTGTTCAATAAGTTGCCTGTCCAGATTCGACGAATTGTAGATTACAGGGTGTTTAGAAATACGGTGAAAAGACTCTTGGCTGCGGAGGGGTTTTACAGTTTTGATGAGTTCCTTTCCCATAATTTCAATTAGGTTTAAATGACTAGCTAGCTAATGCCACCCTAGATATTCATTCATTTATAGGTAGTTATTGATATTTTTATTTTTTTATTTTTTTTTATTTTAATTTTAATTTTAATTTTAATTTTGATTTTAATTTTGATTTTAATTTTAATTTTAATTTTGATTTTGATTTTAATTTTGATTTTGATTTTGATTTTGATTTTAATTTTAATTTTAATTTTAATTTTAATTTTGATTTTATTTTAATTTTGATTTTAATTTTGATTTTAATTTTAATTTTGATTTTAATTTTAATTTTGATTTTAATTTTAATTTTGGTTTTGATTTTGATTTTAATTTTGATTTTGATTTTGATTTTAATTTTAATTTTAATTTTAATTTTAATTTTATTTTTATTTTTATTTTTATTTTTATTTTTATTTTTATTTTTATTTTTATTTTTATTTTTATTTTTATTTTTATTTTTATTTTTATTTTTATTTTTATTTTTATTTTTATTTTTATTTTTATTTTCATTTTCATTTTTATTTTTATTTTTATTTTTATTTTTATTTTTATTTTTATTTTTATTTTTATTTTTATTTTTATTTTTATTTTTATTTTTATTTTTATTTTTATTTTTATTTTTATTTTTGTTTTTGTTTTTGTTTTTATTTTGGTTTTTGTTTTTGTTTTTAATTTTTATTTTTGTTTTTATCTTCATTGTTTAGTGATTAGAATTTTACTACTAGTTATCAAGATATGTAATCTATTAGGAAGTTGGATCTTATGGATATTATGATTATGTAGTTTATTTTCCACAGCTTTGTAAATGAGACTATGTCTTCCTACAATAAAGCAATATTGATTTGATTGATTTTGATTTGAGCAATAAACTGGGCAATAAATAATTGGAATTCCAATAAACCGATAAAAGAAATTTTGGTAGGTACCACAAATAATTAACAGACAAAGAAATATAGTTTTTGCACAAAAACGCTATTGTTTGATGACAGATGTTGATTAATTGGGATGCACTAGAGTTATTTTGTTCAAAGTAAGCTTACTCGGCGCTGTTCACTAGATTGTATCACTCACAGAAAATCCATATTTTTTTGTTCACTTTTTTCACCAGAAATTCACTTTTTCGAGGAGCGATTGAAACATACGTTGCTTTACGGAAACGCTCCTATAATATATAATTAGCAGTTGACTAAACGAGGCAAAGCGGAATTCGATCAAACTATTAAGGGTGGTGTAGGCACTTTCTACACGCTTTAGGTACAACATTTGACCTATGAGCATCTCTATACAAAGTGATTTTCGTAGCCCGTGCATTAGATGCATTTTCTACTAATCCACCTGCAAACTGGACAACTTGTAATGCACGGGCTACATAAATCACCGTATATAGCTTCGAGATATACTGAAAACAAAATAACGAAAGCCTGAAGAGGTTTGATGTGCCTTCACATTACGGTCTCAGAGGCAATGAGTTGTAGGTCTTTTGTAATTATCTGACGGATAGAGTGCAGCAAGTGAAGCTGAATGGAGCTTTGAGAGAGTTTCTTTGGGTATTCCACAAGTAACCATTCTTGAACCTCTTTTGTTTCTGGCCTATATCAACTCCATGCTGGAGTCAAACATTGATCGTGAGATTATATCATACTCTGATGAGTCATTGGATGACACTACTCTAATTTTTGTTGGCCAACTTGGGAAAACGTTAAGGAGAAGGGTAAAACTGGAATCTACAAAGAAAAAACTGGATCGGCCACCACAAACTTTTGTTAAATGTTGAAAAGTTAAATTACATTGCCTTCTCTTTAACAGATATAAAAAGACCCATCTGTAACTCCTTACCGAGCTCCTTACATATCAAAAATACCCACTTTAATGTACCTGAAACCCAAAGCATAAAATATCTTAGTGTCACAATAGATAAAAATATGAGATCTTGAAATGTATACCTACTGAAGAACACCTATAGAGTACCTAATTACCAATGTTTGCCATATAACCAGCTTTATTAATTGGCAAAACGATGGACAGTTCAAAGTAAGTCATCTGTGAGTTCTGTGACCCTTGTGGTCGTAGGCTATTAAGTGGTTTGATTTTTTTTTCTTCATTTATCCTCTTGATTACAAATTCTTACAAAGGAAATTATTTGGACCCGAGTACAAAACAAAATATTGTCAGCTTCTTCAAACCATTATCATACAAACAAATCAATAATTATGTGATGAAATAGGTCGCATCCCTATGATGAAATAGGTAACAGAAGCATATAGGTATGTAGGTAGGAAAAGCAGGGTCCACACTTGCTATATAACACTGCTAAATATGTAGCCAAATGAAATATAGCAAATTTCCATGTTATTCAGGGTGTAAATGAATAGTGGAATCAAACTTCTAGGATAAATACCTAATACCCATTAAAATAAAAAAAAGTTGATAGAAAAATAGGTTCGCGAATGCTTAGTTTTCAAGATACAGGGTGTCAAAGTTTGAATAAAAAAAATCGTTTTTTTTAGCTCAAAAATCCCTTTTCCAATTTTTTTTTTTTTTCAAATTTGGCAGGTTTTTTTTGTGATAACAAAAAGGTATCTTTTGACTGATATGACTTGCTTAATCTAAAAAAAAGTTATAAAAAAATAGTCACATGCGGGGTCACATGCTATTTTTTTTTCTACTTTTACCAACACAGTTGTTCTCTGGGGCGCCACTGAAATATTTACAGTAAATCTAATTGAGTCAAAAGAAACCTTTTGTTATTACAAACAAATGCGCCAAGTTTAAAAAAATGTAGGAAACAGATTTTGAAAAACTGATTTTTCAAGCTTTGACACCCTGTATCTCAAAATCTCAAAAACTAAGCATTCATGGACCCATGTCTCTATTACTTTTTTTCTTATTTTAATGAGTACCTATTATTCGTCCTAGAAGTTTGATCCCACTATTCATTAACACCCTGAATAGCTTGCTACATGGTATCGGTCTTCTGTCAGTAAGGACCAAAAAGAAACTGTTATTGTAGTATTTAGCAACACTTCAAGACTTGCGGTTCTAATTGCTAGTCAGAGACTCGGTCAGTGATGAATGCGTCAATTTTTCTATTGTTTAAATTCAAAAATAGAGCTTCAACAGGATCAGATGGCTAAAGAAGATATTTGCAAGTTAGAGAGAGTGTCGAATCATGGGGCACCCATAGTCCACTCTATAAACTAAAGAAACACAATTTATCACTGATTCTACGAAAATTGTGAAAGCTTTCCCCTTGGCTTACCCTTAATGATAGTCATGATTTAAGCTCTGCTCTCATCTCTTTTGGTAACATAAAAGACTACTTCTACTCGTATATATTTCTTGACTGTAAGGTAGGTCAAATCCAAAATTTTCATATTATGACAAAGTTAATTATTTGTCATAGTCATAGTGCTATATGCTGTAGACCCTGCTTATGAGAGAAAAAACTACTTCTTGGTATTATCCCTCTTCGTCTTGACTATGGACTCTACGTGCCAGCAGTAAGAGATAGATAGAAATTAAACCATGCCAAGAAAATTAAGGAAAGAACAGATACATACCCTCAGGACTATCTTCCAAAGGCCTTTTACCACGATTTTCTCCTGGAGTAGTTGCGTTTGGATTGATTTTAGCGGCAATCTACAATAATAAAACCAAATAATCATGGCAAATCGATGGTAGCCAAGCGGCATGCTGGGCGGTCCGCCTCCCTATTATCTTACCTGTTTAGCACGTTGAAGGGCTGCTGCGAACGCAGACGATTTATCGTAATTCGTTTGCGGAGGTGGAGGCGCTACGCCGGAAAAATCGCTCATTTTTTTATTTCAACACGATAATAGAATTATTTACACACAAGTTTTATAAAATTATACACAACACAACAAAATGGAGTCAGAAAAGAAAGAACATCTAGCGCATTTGGTTAGCATCGGCTTCGGCGGGCATGAGCAATAGGATTTGGCCAATCAATGGCCAGAATTTTGACGGAGTATTTGACTTTGACAGCCTCGATCATGCGCAGAATTTAGTTGAGTTGTATTGTATTGCTTTCAAGAGTTCAGAACACTAGAGCTACTCGCTCCGGTGTTAGTCGAGTGGACCCCGATCATTCGCCCCGGAGCTCCTCCGGTGTGAAAGGAATACAACTTTTGATAAAAGCTGAGTTCGGCTTTCCACTCCACGGAGCGGAACGGTATGAGCATGAATATCGTGACGTCATACGCGGTCACAAGCGCAACGCAAAAGAAAACACTCTGAGAGCTAAAACGAACAGGATCTTGTTTCAAGCGCGCTCAGAGTTTACAGAGTGAAGAGCCGAATTTAGCCAAACTTGGCCAAACTCACCCAAGCAGAAACGGTTTCCATTTTTTCAAGTAGATCTACCCCAAGCAGATCCCAGTTCTCGCGCGAATTGGCTTATTTTTTTCATATTTTAATTTTTTTTTTTTATAATAATTTATTTTATCATATTTTTGAAAGTATGTAACTCCTTTAATGTATAAGTTCAGTTGCACTAGCTCCGAAACGGAGACAGGTCTCGCAGTCTCACAGCCATTTCCTACACGACTAGAGCTGGTCTATGGCACCAGTTTTGGGGCAAAAGTCGAAAGCGCTATTATTCTTGGAACGTACAGAACTAGTTCAGACTCGCTCGGAACTGATTCTGGTTGATCCACGAACACGGAACTAACAACTTCTAGTGAATGAGCGTTTACTCGTTTTTGTAACATCTATGGCATGCCTACGGGGAAATGCTAGAGGTTAAAAAGGATTAATGGGAAATAAGGCACAAAAAAAATCTCAATTTGCACAATTGAAAAATCGATATCGATACCTGCAACCCTTGACAACGTCAACAAAAAAATTTGATGACTTCATGACAGATGAATTGTCAGTCACTTTTTGTTGTTAATTTTTTGAAAAAATAGAAAGAAAATATTTTATTTTTTTCAAAATCCAAAGAAAGGTAAATAATCTACGAAGAGTTAAGGCACTCCTTATAGCCTGTTTGTCTCATCAAATAATTAAAAACCTTTTAGCCTTAAACAAAAGATTCAGTTATCTTTTTTAGAAAATATGGCTGATGATAGCACTGTTGATCCACCCCCTCTTTTTGAAAACATAAATATTTCCAGTGAAGATAAGGATAAGGACGATCTTTTTGTATCAGCGAGACAGGTAAACCTATAGTCACAAGTAGCTTTTTTGCAATTGAACCCTAAATTAGCAATCATACCTTCCTACTCCTACTTTGATTCCTGTATTTGGTTCTGTTGTAAGTTATCTTTGTTCAACTTTTGACCTTTTCAATAAACAATTTTCCTGAAGGTTACTAGAAAAAACCCTATTAATTACGCTCGTTTATTCCTGGGTTATTCCCATGCTTGCCCACATATCAATAAACCATATTGATATAAATAACTTGATTTTAGGATCCAATAGATGAGAGTCTTACCACAATAACAAACGGCACTAGTGAGCCATCAGATATTATTTCAACTTTAACAATTTCAGATTCTAGAAGTGAAATGGAAAAGGTTTTATTTAGTAACAGTGATACAGCTGAAACAGTAAGTACTTACAAGTTAAAGAACATTCCTACCTACACTTATATTTCAATTCAGAAAACATCAAACATAATAATAAATTTGTGATGTATTTTCGATTTCATAACTCTAGTTTCAGTTTTTATTCGGTTTAGTTATTATTAATTATTATTAACTAGAGTAGAGAGTAGGCAAATCAGATAAAGCTGGCGCTGAATAAAAGTTAACTCATCTTAAGATCCACGACTTAGAAGTGGCAAGTCCAAAGCTCACAGTTAATACTTTATACAAGATTACTCATACTCATATGGTCTTTGGTACTTCAAATTTTTCAACTGGGAACTTTCCTGAATGCTTGAAGACCTCTATAGTAGTGCCATTGCATAAATCCGGTACTCATGATAATCCAGCTAATTTTAGACCTATTTCCCTTTTACCTACGCTATCTAAGATAATTGAAAAAATTTTAAGAGCGTATGCTGCAATTTCTAGATAAGCATAAAATTTTGAACAAATTTTAGTTTGGCTTTCAAGAAGGTACGGGTACAAATGACGCTGTCTTTTCTTTTTTAGAGGAGCTTTATTTCAAACTGAATGATCGGGAATATGCCGCGGCCGTTTTTTGCGACTTCTCTAAAGCCTTTGACTGCGTTAACCATGAATTGCTGTTAAAAAAACTACATATGTATGGCTTTAGAGGTAGTGTGCTGAGGTTTTTTAGATCATATTTGGGTTGGAGGAAGCAAATGGTCAGGAATGGGTGCCAGGCCTCAGATCCTAGACCAATAAATCATGGGGTTCCACAGCGTTCGGTGCTTGGCCCAGTTCTTTTTCTTTTATACATCAACGATTTAATTAGAACTAATATACAAGGTTTTTTTACTATCTTTGCTGACGACACCACTGTTTTATGGCATCATAAAGACCCAGAGGTTTTAAAACAGATTATTTCTGAGGATATGGGCAAGATTAAAGAGTGGTGCAATAGCAACTTTCTCTGTTTTAACATAGAAAAAACAAAGGTTTTAAGTTTCAAGCTATCCATTAGTGACATTCCCCTTGGTGACAAGGTAGTAAGGGGTTCTAATACTGCAAAATTTCTGGGAATCTATATTGATGATAGACTAAAGTTTAGTGAGCACATAACAAATCTAAATAGGAAACTAGCTTCAGGGTGTTTTGCCGTGCGTCAAACAGTTTCTGCGTTGGGATTCAGAATGGCCAGGACAACATATTTTGCTTTGATTGAGTTTTTGCGTTATGGAGTGGCATTGTGGGGTTGCTGTAACAGAACCCTTTTGGATTCGGTATTTGTTTTGCAGAAGAGGGCAATAAGATACTTATGTGGGGCTGATGTAAGAGAACATTGCAAGCCCCTATTTTTGAAACATCAGATTTTAACTGTCACATGCATTTTTATATTGGAAACAGTTTGCTTAATTTTTAAAAAATTCAGGGGTTTTATCTTTGCCCCGAGCTATAACTTTAGGAACCAGGAAAATATTCCCCTCCCAATTCCAAGATCCAGCCTTACAAAGCAATCCCTGATTTATGACAGCATTAAGATTTTCAATAAATTGCCATCTGACTGTAGAAGACTACATAGGGTGAGTCATGCATTGTTGATAGAAAAACTTTCCAAATATGGTGTATGTGGTTCACTTCTTCAATGGCTGTATTCTTATCTTGTAGACAGAAGCCAGATTGTAAAGGTGAAGTCATTTCAATCTGAGGTTATTAGTGTTACTTCTGGGGTGCCTCAGGGGGGTCATCTTGCACCACTCCTGTTCTGCTTATTTATCAATGACATAGGGTCTTGCTTCCATCATGTCCAATTTTTGTTATATGCCGATGACTTGAAAATTTTCAAGAGTATAAATCAAGAAGGCCCAGACAGGGGAATGCAGGATGATCTTCTGAGGTTCCATGAGTGGTGTGTTGAGAACGAGATGACATTGAATGGCAAGAAATGCAAATATATTCAGTTCTCTAGGAAAAATTCTCCCAGACTAAATGACTATTATATAAATGATAATGTTATTGAAAATGTTTCTAGTATTCGTGACCTAGGTGTTGTATTCGATGCAAAATTGTCATTTTCTGAACACATTTATGCATGTTGTAATAAAGCATTGAAAATGTTGGGTTTTATCAAAAGACACACAAGAGACTTTAAGAATGTTTCTGCTCTCAAGTGTTTGTATGTGTCTTTGGTTCGTTCCCATCTTGAAAATAATAGCTGTGTGTGGTCACCACATTATAAAATTTATGTTGAATTAGTTGAACGTGTACAGAGAAAATTCTTGAGATACATAGGGTACAAAATGGGAATACCTTCAGATTTTATTGATCATGGTCAGCTTTTGCAGAATTTGTCATTGGAAACATTGGAGCATAGGCGTAGAAAATTTGATCAGTTGTTGATTTTTAAGTTGCTCAGAGGTTATCTGAATTGCCCTGAGTTGCTCTCGGCTGTAAACTTGAATGTCCCAGAGAGGAATTTTAGAGCTGTGCGCTGTTTTTCGTTGGAGAGACATCGTACCTCTTATGGCCAACACACAACCATTAATCGGGCTATGTCTTATGCCAATGAGATACAGGTGGACATATTTGCTGCGTCTTTGCGCCAAATGAAGCTATCACTGTGATATTGTTTTGTTCTGGTGATTTACCCTGTGATCTGTTTTTGGCTGTTTTTTGTTGTCCTTTCAATTTTTTAATTTAGAAATAATTTATTGAACTCTTTTTAAAATTTTTATTTATGTGTGGTTTGTTATTAGTATTAATATTATTATTGTGGCAATATTTGTAAAATTGGGCCGCTGCCCGTTGGAAGTGAGGATAAATAAATACATAATATACAGACTTTTAGAAGAACGGTAAAAGCGTTGCTGGTTGATAAAGCCTATTATTCCTTGGATGAATATTTTGATGACAGGTTATAAAAATAAACCGGGTATTTATATATAAGTTAAGATTTTGTTAGGCCAAAGTGTATTTTGCTTAAGTATGTTTCTATTGTTTGTATTTTCTTTTGATTTTATTTGTAAAATTTTTGTATTTAAATGTTGTGATTTTATATGTCTTTATATTTTATTTTATTTTGTTTTAAAGCCCTATACTTTGCTTTGTCTATAAAGATCAATTGTATTTTTACGACAATAAAGTATATATTGATTGATTGATTGATTGAAGCGTTTAGGCTCATTAGTCTGCGCCTTACCCCAGATTGTTTGTTGTAATACATCTAAAGCCGGGCTCAAACGACTCGTGTACTTGACGAATAATCGTTACTTGCGTATACTTGCCATGTCGTGTGAGTGGGTTACTTGTACCTACAGTTATTTGTCACTCGGTGGTTTTCCATTTCTTGTCGGTAAAAATGTCCCGAGTCAAAGGGATCACGATTATTCGTACACTTGCCAAGTTCATACTTGTCTATACTTGTAGAGGCGCTCAAACGAAATGCACAAATAATTGGCTTTTACTGCGACTATTTCATTTAGTTTTCGACGAGCATCAAGGTTTAGCCAAATGTTCGCGCTCGCGTACTTGTAAATTGAACACGTCGTGTGAGCGCCCTGCTTGCCATCGCAATTCGCAAAGCTAGTATACTTGCCAAGTACGCGAATAATTGTGTATTCGCCAAGTACACGAGTCGCCTGAGCCCGGCTTAATAGTTTCTATTGAGAAACAGTGTTGAACACTTTGACAAGCAAAAAAAAAAACTTAATGATGTATTATTACCTATTTTTATTTTTAAAATAGGGAATTCCCATAAGAAATAAATATGGCTTATTTTGTTTTTATGGTGCACATTTTTGTGTAAAATATTGAATATAAGAAGTTTCGTATTAAATTTATGGATATTATAGTCATATGGCAATTATTAGTTTTAAATTGAAAAGTTTCGCGCGGAAAAGTTACGTTTAATATGGCCGCTTCCAGTGACGTCAACTGTTCGTAATTTAAGGTTAAGGGTAGTTTACACTGATCGTAAATCCACGGTCCACACTTTCGTGATTCACTCTTGAATCGTGGAACGATTGGTCCACGATCAGCTCACGACACGCCACGACTGATATTGAACCACCATAAACGGGTCTATAGAGGGAAGATTGTCAGACTGCGCTTTTGTAAATCCTGTATCAACCATGATGAACTATTTGAAACACAAAATGTCACAATATGGTACTAAATATGGACATACCGCATAAATAACCGCTTTCAAGTTTCAATGCAGTCGAAGGTTCAAGCTAAGCGATTCTTTCCGACAGTTTGCAAAGTATCAAAGGCTCTTGTGAGAACAGACCTTAACGTTGTGTTTACAGACAGTTGACGTCACAAATGCCACCATCTTGAAGCTAATCGTTCTCGCGCCAACGAAAATAATTTGAAATTCAAAATATTTTTTTTATTTCAATGAGGACATAAAACAAAAAAAAACATATACATTTTATATTTGAAAACATAAGCAATAAGAAAAAAAATACTTTGAAAAATATGATTGTTCCCTATTATTTGATAACAGGTCTTCAAAATAAAGGTAAATCAAAGATGGCTATGATTTTTTAAATGTATGTCTTAGCTATTGTCTGGCTAGCCAAACGGCGAACTGCAATAGAATTTGCTGGTTTGCCAAGCTTGATGGAAACCACACAGAAACAGTAATAAACAAGTTGGTGACTAATTTTTTGTTTGCTAGTCCGTTTTTTTTTTAAAGATAATGCCCCAAGTCAAAAATGTAGTAACTATGTTGGCAGCGCAAGCCTTTTCTACATAAAAAATTTGAAAGCATTGACAACTTTACATTGTATTGCCAACATAATGTCATTTTGACTTTAATCTTTAAAAAAAAACAGACATTATATGGGCATGTGTGATATTTTGAAATAGAAAAAAATCCGGCAACATTGCGAAATCATGGATGTGGAGAGGCGTGATTATTCAGAGGCATGATTCTATTGGTTAGAGCCTAAGGTTAGAACCTGAAAGACAGCACAGTGGCGTGGTTATTGGCGAAA